GATCTAGGATGGCCCCAAACACTTTGCTGCCTCAGGGCTTCTACCTGTGGTTTTCTCTGCCCACAGCACCTTCCCCTCTGTTTTGTTTTGTTTTGTTTTTTTTAATTGGAGTCTCACTCTGTCACCCAGACTGAAGTGCAGTGACATGCTCCCGGCCACTGCAGACTCAACCTGCTGGGCTCCGGCGATCCTTCCACCTCAGCCTTCCAAGTAGCTGGAACTACAGGCGCACGCTACCATGCCCAGCTAATTTTTTGATTTATTGTAGAGGTGACGTCTCACCAAGTTGCCCGGGCGGGTCTCAAACCCGCAGGCTCAGGGAATCCACTCACCTCAGCCTCCCAAGGCATCTGTTTATTTTTGATTTATTTATTTATTTTTTTGAGTTGGAGTCTCACTCTGTCGCCCAGACTGTAGTGCGGTGGCCGCTCCCAGCCACCGCAGCCTTGACCTGCTGGGCTCCGGCGATCCTTCTGCCTCAGCCTTCCAAGTAGCTGGAATTACAGGCGCGCGCTACCACGCCCGGCTAATTTTTGATTGTTGTAGAGATGAGGTCTCGTCAAGTTGCCCAGGTGGGTCAAGAACCCGCAGGCTCAGGCAATCCACTCACCTTGGCTTCCCAAAGTGCTGGGGTTACAGGTGGAGCCACCAAGCCCGGCCAGATGTTTGCTTTTTAAATAGTGTAGGGTCTTGCCGTGTTGCCCAGGCTGGTCTTGAACTCCTGGCCTCAAGTCATCCTCCTGTTCTCCCAAAGTGCTAAGATTATAGGCATGAACCAGGGAGCCCGGTCAGTTTTTGGTTTTTTTTTTTTTTTGAGTTGGAGTCTCACTCTGTCGCCCAGACTGGAGCGCAGTGGCCGCTCCTGGCCAATGCAGCCTCAACCTGCTGGGCTCCGGCGATCCTTCCGCCTCAGCCTTCCGAGTAGCCAGAATTACAGGCGTGCGCTACCACACCCGGCTAATTTTTTGATTTATTGTAGAGATGAGGTCTTGCCTGCCCAGGCGGGTCTCGGACCCGCGGGCTCAGGCAATCCACTCACCTCAGCCTCCCAAAGGCACGGGATTACAGGCTGAGCCACCGAGCCCGGCCAGTTTTTGTTTTTTAAATAGAGATAGGGGGACCAGGTGCGGTGGCTCACACTTGTAATCCCAGCACTTTGGGAGGGAGAGGCAAGAGGATTGCCTGAGCCCACAAGATCAGCCTGGGCAACGTCTTCTCAATAAATAAAAAAATTAGCCAAGTGTGGTGTTACATGCCTGTGGTTCCAGCTACTTGGAAGGCTGAGACGGAAGGATCACCTGAGCCCAGCAGGTTGAAGATGCGGTGGCCGTGAGTGTACCACTGCACTCCAGCCTGGACAACAGAGTGAGACTCTGACTCAAAAATAAACACATACATGCATACATATATAGAGACAGAGTCTTGCTGTGTTCCCCAGACTGGTCTTGGACTCCTGGCCTCAAGCCAACCTCCTGTCTTAGCCTCCCAAACCGCTGAGATAACAGGCATGAGCCAACCCACCACGCCCTGGCCACCCTCTGTTCTTGACTCCTCCAGACTTCTCTCCTGACACCTCTGGCCACCCATCCAAATGAGGTCTGCTCAAATGCTCTTCTCTCACCCCTTTCTTCCTTTATAGCAGTGACCACAATATGCAATTATGTATTTATTGGTGCATTTACTTTTTAATTGTCTCTCCCCACTTAAAGATCTGTTTCCCCCACAGGACCCATGAGAGCAGAGAGAGTATTTGATTTATTTCTGCATTCCTAGTAGTTAGCAGGGTGCCCAGCTCCTAGGAGCTCTCAGGAAACAATAGTTGAATGAATAAATGAAAGAGCCACTCACCCCCCACCCCCACCCCCCACTCAGAGCAGGGACTCACTTGCTCAGGGCCTTGGATGCTGCCTCCCCAACTCCCTGGCCCTCTGCCCTGGGCTGCAGTATGTGGCTTCTCATGGGGCAGCAGTGGGAGGCCTGGCCCCAGGGCACCCTGGTGTTGCAGGGAGAGGAGAACAATCAAAGACACAGAGGCTGTGAAGCGTGGCCACTGACTGTCAGCACCTTTGGAGGGAGAGGCCGCTTCAGGCTACACAAGGAGCTAAGACTTGCAGAAGAGCTGAGGGCCAAGGGGTGGAGAGGGCCACAACCCATGCTGGGTGGGAGTGGTTTTCTAGCAGAAACCTCAGAGGCGCACATGTGGTGAGGGATAGGAGCCGTGTCTTAGAGGGCCTCTAACACCAGTTTGAACTTTATTCTGGACAAAAAGAGCAGCTGCATCTAAGGTGAGTTCTTGTTTATTTGTTGTTTCTGTTTGAGATGAGGTCTAGCTATGTTGTCCAGGCTGGTCTCGAACTCCTGGGCTCAACTCCTGGATTATAGGCGAGAGTCACTGTGCCCGGCCAAAAGCTATGTTTTAGAAAAATCCCCCTAGCAGAATTGTGGAGGGTGGATCAGAGAGGTAGTAGTATCACCTTTTTGGGGCTTCCTATGGCTAAGTGCTACATGCTTAATGAGGCGTGTTTAACTCTTGCAACAATCTTGTGAGATAGGTGTTATTCATAACTGCTATTTTATGGGTTAGAAACCTGAGACCTGTAGTGACTCTCTTCAGTGAAAAACTGTTCCTTCTCATCTCTTGGGATTCTGAGAGCTTGTCACAATGCCTCACCTGTTCCTTGCTGTGGATGTGACAGGAAGCCCAGGCCTGACCAGTACCTGACCCCTGGCCCTGCCAACAGCAACTAGTCCAAGAGGTGGTCATGAGATCCAGGCAGAAGCACATGGAGCCTTGGGATGTAGAAGGTAGGACCCCTAGGAGTGAGTCCCCCCGCTTCTTGGAGCTCAAATTGTAGCCATGCAAGCTCAGGGCATCTGAAGCCAATTTCCCAAGTTTTTTCTCCTAAAATTTCTATGTAGCCGGGCTCGGTAGCTCAGCCTGTAATCCCACGCCTTTGGGAGGCTGAGGTGAGTGGATTGCCTGAGCCCGTGGGTTCGAGACCCGCCTGGGCAGTGAGACCTCATCTCGACAATAAATCAAAAAATCAGCCGGGCGTGGTAGCGCATGCCTGTAATTCCAGCTACTCGGAAGGCTGAGGCGGAAGGATCGCTGGAGCCCAGCAGGTCGAAGCTGCGGTGGCCGGGAGCGGCCACTGCACTCCAGTCTGGGCGACAGAGTGAGACTCCAACTCAAAAAAAAAAAAAAAAAAATTTCTATGTGACAGGATGAAATGTGGCCAATGCACAAAAGAAACAGATGAACAGGGTGTATGCACAGGAGAGATCCATGAAACTGAAACTGGATCCAACCACACCTGAAACTAGATTCAGCTGAAACTTCCTAGTACATAAGCTATTCATTTGTGTTGTTTTGTGTTTTTATTTGTTCATTTATTTATTTTTTGAGTTTGGGTCTCACTCTGTCACCCAGGCTGGAGTATAGTGACATGGTCATGGCTCACCACATCCTTGGCCTCCTGGGCTCAGGGGATCCTTTCACTTCAACCCCAAGTAGCTGGGACTACAGGTGTGCACCACCACACCTGCTTTTTTTTTTTTTTTCCACTGTAGAGACAAGGTTTCACTGTGTTGCCCAGGCTGGTCTCGAACTCTGAGCTCAGGTAATCTTTTTGCCTCAGCCTCCCAAAGGGCTGGGATTACAGGTGTGAGTCGCCATGCCTGGCATATTTTGTGGGGTTTTTTGTTTTGTTTTTGACTAGTACTCTCACCCTGTTGCCCAGGCTGGAGTGCAGGAGCATGCTCGTGGCCACTGCAGCCTTGACCTGCTGGGCTCTGGTGATCCTTGTACCACAGCCTTCCAAGTAGCTGGAACCACAGGCACACACCACCATGCCCAGCTAATTTCTGGACTTAATGTAGAGATAGTCTCACCAATTTGCCCAGGTTGGTGTTGAACCCCTGGGCTCAGGCAATCCTCTCGCCTTTGCCTCCCAAAGTGCTAGGGTTGCAAGCAAGAACTACTATACCTGGCCCTGTTTTTTTAAAAAACACAAAAAACTAGGGCTCAGAAACACATAACTTGCCTGAGGTCACACACCTAGCACATGAAGGAAGCAGAACTCAAGCCCCTCTGGTTCTGATACCTGTGCTTTTTGCTGTGCCATGCCTTGACAGCAGAGAGACTTTAGAAACTGCTGCTCCATAAAAGCAGGCGAGTGTGAGGCAATCTGGTCTCAGGGAGCCAGAGGCCAGGCGAGGGGGGAGTCTGAGAGAGGTCAGGATGGAATCTGGAAAGCCTTGGTATAGACCTGAGGGTGGGGGGAAGTGGGGGAAGATGCAGGGGGCCTGGAAGATCTAGAAGCCAGAGGCAGAAGGGCGTGTGGGAGACTAAGGCAGGGAGGACTCATGGAGGGAGACACGGGCTTTTCCCAGACACAGAGGGCTGACACCTCTTGCCCAGAGGCCAAGGCAGGAGCAAGACCAGCTTGTGGGTGTTGATGAGCTCATCTGGAGCCATGGGGAGGCCAAGGACAGGCCTGGGGTCAACCCCAGGCTGAGGCTAGAGGAGAGAGAAGGAACAATTGGAGGAGGAGGAGGAAGCTATGTCACCATCATGGAAAACGAGTTCCTCAGAGCCCAGTGCCCCAGCTGAGAGGTCAAGACCAGAGGAGGAGGAGGCCCTGGTGACCTCGGAGGCCAGAGCAGGGGAAGCGGGGATGATGTTTATGAATTCAGCAGCAAATGAAGGGATGGTGGTGGGAGGGGTGGCTGGAGGGACCGTTCCTTGCGTGTGTGTGAGTCCAATCCATGCTGCTAAGCTGTAACTCTTTCCTGCTCCACATTTCATTTTTCTCTTTTCTCTATCTCAGTGGCCTTCGGGGAGACAAATTCTTGGTTGCGTTGTATAGTAGCAAAGCCATTCTGGGCTTTGAATGGCTAAGTGAACCCAGCACCCCCACTCAGCATTTCAGAGGCAAGGCTGAACCCCAGGGTTCATCTCCCAGGGTTCATCTCCCCTTGCCGAGTCCGAGACAGGTTTGTTTTTTAAAGCATTTTAATAAAATTAACAAAATAAATACCCTAAACTCAATGGGCTACAGGGATAAAGAGTGGAAGCCAGAGGACCAGTCTCTCCTGCCCAGGCCCTCAGGTCCCCTCACAGGGAGACCCCGCTCTGGGCAGGTGTGAGGCTGGAACCGCTGACTCCGGGCGGGGGGAGTGAATCTGAATGGGTGATCTGGGCTCTTGCAGGCTGTCCCTCTTGGTGCAGGGGAGGGGAGAAGGGGTCAGAGAAAGCAAGATCCTGCAAGAGGCCTCCAGTAACCCCCAGGAGTGCCCGGGTAGGGGAAGGGCTAGCCTAGAAGGATGGTGGGGGGTGGGGGCATTGTGGTGGCAGTGAAGCAGGGCAGTGAGCGTGGCCTCAGTGGGCTTGGGTGGCTCTTGCACCCACGGCCACTCACTCTCGGACGTAGACCCTGGTGCACACCACGTCATCCGCTGTCATGGTCTGTAATGACAGAAGCAGTTGTGAGCCTGGGAGGCCCTTGGGCCTTGTGACCTTGGAGATGGGTTGACTAGAGGTATCCTGCGTGGCTTCCAGGTCCCAATCTGCTTCTTAACTCAGGATCAGCAGGTAGGAGCTAGTCCCAGAATGCCAGGGAATCACTGGGGGGACGATGGTAGTGGGATCCCTAGGGGCCCATCCCCCTCCCCAGGCCAGGAAGATCTCTCTGTTGGGACCCCTCAGATCATGGCCTTGGCGCTTCACAAAAGCAACATCATTTTTTTTTTGAGTTGGAGTCTCACTCTGTCGCCCTGACTGGAATGCCGTGGCTGCTCCTGGCCACCGCAGCCTCGCCTGCTGGGCGCCGGTCATCCTTCAGCCTCAGCCTTCCAAGTAGCTGGAACTACAGGCATGCACTACCACGCCCCACTGATTTTTTGATTTATTGTAGAGATGAGGTCTCGCCAAGTTTCCCAGGCGGGTCTCGAACCCACGGGCTCAGGCAATCCACTCCTCTCAGCCTCCCAAAGGCGCGGGATTACAGGCTGAGCCACCAAGTCCGGCTGCAACATCATTTCTAATTCACACGGGGCACTGTATGGGACAGGGACAGTCCCACCAGGAGGGTGAGGAGACCGGCTTTGGTTGCTCTGGAACCAGCTGTACCCTGTGGTCTCCATGGCTGGAAGGTAGCACTGGGTTTGCTATGGGTCGGGAGGGGGCGGGACTTACGAGGATGAGCTCTCCGTCATTGGTCAGTTCTCTGGTCCAGGAGGTCTTGGGGCCCTCACCCTTCAGGAGCCTCTGCTCGCAGACCATCTTGTTCTCACTCTCCCATTTCACCAGACTCTGCAGGGAGGGTAGCTGAGTCAGCTGGGCCCATACAAGGGACAGGGGAGCGAGAGGGAGCAGGGATAGACCCCTCTGCACCCCCACCATCACCTGGGGACTCTGCATTGAGCAAGGAAGCTGGGAGGTCTGGGAGGTGGGGTGTCCAGAGACCACAAGGCCAGGCCCCACTGCGCTCACCTTACAGGGCCTCCCGTCCACCGTCTGCTCCTCAAACTCCTCCCCAACCTTGAAGTTGATCTCCGTGGTGCGCACGGTGGTGGAGGTTTTGATGTAGAAAGTATCTCCCTCCTGTTTGATTTCCACTGCTGGCTTGGATGCAGCGGCCACCGCGATCTTCCTCAGCATCACGTTCACCCCTAGGGGAGAGGGGACAGGTCCCCTTTAGGGCAGCCACGGGCACCCCTCTCGCACTCTCCTCACGAGACTCTGTGGCTTTTCTGTGACTTGCTTGGGGTGGGGGGGCATCTGCCTGGTGCCTGGGTTTTCCAGAAGGCACCTTGAAGGAGACGCGGGTGGTGCAGCCCTGAAAGATGAGGGGGCTTGGGAGGAGGGGCAGTGAGACAGGGCCCTGCCTCAGGAGTCCTGTGCTAGCTGGGCCCCACCTTACTGAGTCAGCAGGCCCAGATCTCTACCCAAGCCTCAGCTCCTCACTCCCAGAATTCTCAGGGGCAGCTTCTCTGTAGTCACCCACCCAGCAAGCATCCTGCTGTGGGCACACCTTAGCTCTGTTCACTTCAGCATGGCCTCTGGTCCACCATGGCTCGAGACCCTCTGCTGGGATGGGTGCAGCAGATTCACCAGGTCTTCACCTCTGCCCAAGCACAGTGCAGACCCTCCCTAGTCACGTCCTGCCACTCATGTCCTGGGAAGTAGGAGCCATTTCCTTCTCTGCCTGGTCTACCCCTCCTGCCTGGTGCTAAGGAGGTCTTCCTCTGCTCAGTCTAATTGAGGAGCAGGGATTCTAAGCAGGGGAACACAGCAGGGCAGCTATTTCCCTCTGCAGGATGGCCAGCTGCCTGGGGACACCAGAGGCTCTGTAGGAAGACACATTAGGCTGCAGTGGCTCAGCCTCTTGCAGACCGGGTGACCCTGGGCAAATGGCTCAACCTCTCTGAACCACAGATTTCTTCACTGTAAAATGGAAAGAATCGCTGCCTCAAAAAGCTTATTAAACAGGATGGTGTGTGTTCAGGACTGCACACACAAGGGCCAGGCACATCTTTAAGTACTTGGGAAAGAGTAGCCATTGTTATTGTTGCTATTATTATTACTGATAAAAGGAAGGCAAAAGGCAACCCCTTTGTGTCCCCTCCACTGTGGGAGCTTTTCTGTCCTCTCAATAAATTCTGCTTTAAAAAAAAAAAAAGGAAGGCAAAGACAAAAAACAGAGCTGGGGCTCAGACAAAGCTCCTTGATTACCTGGCCTCCTGGAAGGCTCCATGCCCCTCCCGCCTCAAGGAAACTGCCTCCTGCCATAAGAATGGACAGAAAAGGACACTGTCCCCTCTCCCTATCCTGATGTGCTCCCTCCTCCAGGATTCCTCACTCCTTCAGGGTCAGGTCTCTGTGGATTCAGACTCCCTGTGTACCACCAAATCCTTTCCCAGATTGGACCCCTTCTCTCTGCTCCCCATTATTAAAAGGGATGGGGAGCTGGGCATGGTGGTTCATGCCTGTAATCCCAGCACTGAGAGGCGGAGGCGAGAGGATTGCCTGAGCTTGGGGGTCTGAGACCAGCCTGAGCAACATGGCAGGACCTCGTTTCTACAAACAAACAAACAAACAAAAAGCCGGGCATGGTAGTACATGCCTGTGGTTCCAGCTACTTGAAAGGCTGAGACAGAAGAATCACTTGAGCCCAGCGGGTCGAGGCTGCAGTGGCCGTGAGTGTGCTACTGCACTCCAGCCTGGGTGACAGAGTGAGACTCTGACTCAAAAAAAAAAAAACACAAAAAACCTCTTAACCTCTTAACAGGAAGAGGTACAGAGTGGGAGGCCCCTGTGGATGGTACCTAGCACTAAGCTCCCCATCCCAGCTCACCTGGCCTGGCCTGAGTTGGAGCAGAGCCAGGTGGGGTGACCGGGGGCCAGCAGGAGTCCCCTGCGCACGGGACTCGAAGCCTAGGTCCTAGAGAAGCAAATCTCCTTTTCCCCAGCACCTGAGCACACCCACTGTACTCCAACAGAGGGCCGAGGTAGGAGGCAGACCTGGATATTAGCTACTGATCTCTTGGGTAAAGAGAGAAATGACTGAGAAGAGACACATCTTCCCGGACAAAGGAGATGCTGCTCTCTGTTGTTACTGGGAAGTCCATCCTGCTATCTAGCATCCATCTTTCCCGTTATAGTAACAGAATCTGCTATGTGCCATGACCACCATACTGATGCTCCCAAATACCCACTCATCCCTCACCGTGAGATGGCCCGTGACCAGGGCGAGGCGGGTGTGAAGGGACTGAGGTTCCTGCAGAGGCAGGGTTGGGTCAGGAGGCATCGCTCCAGCCAGTCCTGGTGCCTGTGGAGCTGAGGCTCACCGACCTTGGCTGACTCAGGACTGTGTTTGTCTAATGGGTCTGTTTTCAATCTGCCTCCTAGCAGGGCCTGAGCAGGGCACGTGGCTGTGAGAGACCCTGCGGGGAGGACAAACAGACTGAAGACAGACAACCGCCTTGGGCTGTGGATCTCACCCTCCAGCTGGGACCTGCAGAAGTGCCAGGCCACTGCCTCATCTACAGGATGAGGGGCCAGAAGCCAGAGAAGATGGGGAGGGATGAGCAGCCAGACTTCTAAAGGGAAAATTTTTATCCTTTGGTCTTTAATTTCAGCAAGGGCAGAGCAAGACACACAGACATGACTACAAGAAGTACTGTGGTTAGGTTGCAGGAAGAACTAACAGCAAAGAATGATGGAAATCCCAGCTCTCTCCAAAGCATTCCAAACTCTTCTTAGGTCCAGACTCACTCCTACAGTCCCTTACCCCACACAGGGTGTTCTCCTGCCCCCTAGCCCAACCAGGGTCTCTCTGCTCAGTCCAGGGACTGAAGGCAGCATGCTGGTCCTGAGACTCTAGGGCTCCTCCGGTGACTGAGTTCCTTAACTATCCTCCCATCTCTTCTCCCAGCCATGAAGTCCTGGCCCACTCTGCTTCCTCAGATGGTCCAGCCCAGTCTGATCCCAGAGGGCACGCAGAAGATGGGTGGTGGGCCCGGAAAGTTGGAAGGGCTGTGCGGGTTGACTCAGCTTCCCCCACCTCTGGCCAACCCAGCTGGGCCGCAGCCGGTCTCTGGGGAGGGAGGGAGGGAGGGAGGTGGGAACCCGGATTTTCGGAAATGCGGGATTGGGTTTTCACCCAAAGCCATTTGTTGAAATCCAAGAAAGTGATAATTATCCAGAGCGATTTGGGAACGCTGGAGCCGCTGGCTGTAGGAAAATACTTGTCTCGCAGATGGGGGCGGGGAGAGGGGAGTGGAAACCGCGGAGGGGGAAGGGGCCGAGGCGCAGGGGCGGCGGATCACCTGGGGGCGGGGCCGGGCGCCGCGGGCACCGAACCTGCCTCGTGGGTTGGGTTACGGCGGGGGCGCCGGGAGGAGGGCTGGAGCGTCGCGACGGCTCGGCTGGGAGGGACCCAGACGCGCAGCCTGGACGCGGGCTCGGACTCTCCCGCCCGCAGCTTCCGAACTGCAGAGCCGGGTGCCCTGGTCCGCCGGGTCGCGGCGCGAAGCCAGGCCCCCACCCCCAGGGGCCGACCTCGTGCTTCTGGTTCCTACCGGATTCTGAGTCACCGCAGGATCTGCCACCGCTGGGGGCCCCGGGACCCAGACGTCCGGCCCCTCTTCTGGGGATGCAGGCGCCCAGTCTCGCCCCGGTCTCCCTTTCCTTCTCGTCCCCACCTTCGAGGCCGCCAGCGTCCCTCTCGCCCCTCTCGGGCGCCAGAAAATGTCCTTACCCAGAACTTTGAGCAAATCCTCGAAGTTTTCCGATCGGATGATCTTCCAGTTGCCAGAGAAGTTGGGCATGGTTGGCAGCGCGGGGGGCGGTCCCCTCAGATCCCTCAGCTGGAACACTGGACACGAAGCCCTTCGGTCGAAAGACACGTCGCCGCCGCCTTCGCCGGGTCGTGAGAATCGGGAGCCTAGACACGTCCGGGGACAACCCCAAAACTGGCCTGTGCTCCCGCGCGGGCAGCTTTTATACCCCGCACAGGCCCGCCCCTGCCCGGGACTGAGGCGGCCCCGCCTCCCGCCCCGCCCTCCCACCTGGGGGGGCTTTGGGCCCCCAGCCACGACCTCTGGGTCTGGCCCCGTGTGTGGGTCCAGGGTTCGTAGGGGCCGAGACAGCCTTCTTCCGCGCCAGTGGGTGGATGGGGCAGGCGACCGCTGGGATTGCGCTCTTGGCCGGGGTAGGAGGACTGGCCCCGGGCGCAGAGCTCAGGGCTGATGCGTTCCCCACCCGTGTTCCCCACGACCACCCTGATCCCCACCGGTCCCCAACCTGGCCGGGTGCATTCGACTCCTTGGCGCCGCACACCTGGCGATCCCACCGGCGGGTGAAACCCGGATCTCGAGCTGGAGCCGGGGAGGTGAATGGAAGGCCGGCTCCGGCTCCTTGGAAGCCCGACCGGCACCCAGTGGGCGGCTCCGAGCCCAGGAGAAGAGCCTGGGGGGGTCCCGGGGGGAGGCAGCTAAGTGGGACGACGGCGGCCCCTGCCGCAACAACTCGAAAAGGCTGGGGGGTGGCACTGTCCCCCACCCTTCGACCCGGGGCTCGGGTGGTGCCGGGGACGCTGGAAGCGGCTGCCAGGCGCCTCATCCTCCCCGCGCCCTGGGCGGACATCGAAGGGTTAAGCGGGAGCGCAGGGCGCGGGCTGGGAGGGCAGAGGTCACAGCCAATCACTTGACACGAGCTCTTTATTAAAGCGCTTTCTCTGCCTCTCGGCTCCCCAGACCCCGAGGGGGTCTTGTTAAGGGGCGGGGGGCGGGGGCCGAGACGCGGAGCCCGGCGCGCCGCGCTGCCACCTAGCTCGGAGGGAGGCTGGGCGCCCGGGAGGGGGCGGAGCAGGGTCTCAGGTGTCACCATCCCGCGCCGTGAAGGCGGCGGAAGGAGCGGCCGCCCGTCGGAGGGCGGCTTTGAAGTGGGAGATCAAAGCGGGGGGGGGGGGGTACCGCCTCCCGCAGAGACCCCAGTGGAGAGGGCCGGGGGACAGAGAAACAGAAATGGAGGTCGGGCGGCGAGCCCTGGGGACTGGCTGGGAGACCCGAGGCCAGAGTCGCAGAGGAGGGAGCCGGGCGGGATGCGGTGCCGGGAGCGAGAGGGCTCGGAGTCGCCCGCCGCGTGCAAAATGGCCTTCGGAGAACCAGTGCACATGGCCCCGCTGCCCTCACCCCAACCCAATCTCACTCGCCCTCCCAGCTCCGTCTGAAGCGGGAAGAAAAACCCCACTTCTGGTCCCAGCCTTGAGTCCCTGCCCGGCCCCTCCCTGCCAGCGTGGCCAAGGGTGGAGCAGGCAGGCGCTTTGAGGTCTTCGAGCCTGGCGCGTAGAACCCAGGAGCCGTCTAGGGAGTTGGGAGCTTTGGCGGGACTGGGGAGGAGACCCGAGGAAGTAGCCAGAAGAGATCTCTCGACGCGCTGGAGGATTGACCACGCGCTGAGGGATGAAGGCTGGAGAATGTACTGGGGGTCGCGGCTCTGGGCTGCAGAGAGGGAGATCTCAGAATAATAGTCAAGTAACTGTCAGATTTGAAGACGGGAGCTGGATCGATCAGCCTGGGCTTAGGAGTCCAGGTTTTGGTTGGGAGAGCTGATCTGGGCATGTGGGGGGCCCCGGTTTCTGGAAGGGAGAGGGCCGCAGGTCCAGAAGCTCTCTGGGGAAGGACAGACAAAAGCAGAGGCGGGTGGAGGGAAGGGGTCCCTGGGGGATGCCTAGGACCTGGGGTTGCAAGCACAGCCCGAGCCCCTCCCCCGCCCGCAGCTCGGCCCGCTGTGCTGTAGGTAAAAGGAGGAGGAGTAGGTTCTGACAGTGAAGTCAGGCTCCTAGCCAAGGGATGAGGGGAGGCTGGAGGAAGGAGCATGGGGGAAACCGGACCCCTGCCGCCCCTCCTTCCCCTCACTGCCCCGACTCTCCCACCCAGGTCATCATGTCCATCATCACTTCACTCCGGCCCTCTGGAGCCCCAGCCGGAAGAGCCCAGCCTCCTGCTCAACAGGCATCCCTCCTCCTGAATGAGAAGAGCCGGGGCGGGCTTCTCCCCCACAGCCGTGTGACCAAGGATGTCAAAACCTCACCCAGTAGATGGTCACCAGGACACAGGGATGGAGTGCACAGGAGGCATGTGGTCTGTCCCCTGCTGCTACCGCAGGGGGAGCACAGGCTGGATGGCTTGGCTGAGGATGCTGGGGAGGCAGGGAGAGAGGCTCCCTGGGGTGGGGGCAGGGAGGCCTGGGCCCGCCCCCCTCCCTCCGCTTCCCCAATCCCCCCACCAGCCAACTGGCCAGGATTTCCAAAGAGACAGAAGTAAGACAAAGGGAAGTTGGACTGGGAGGGGAATTCTTTCCAGATGTGAACGTTTTGTGGTTTGGCAGCTCTGGGCCTGAGCTCCACTCCCGCGCCAGCACCCCACCCCTGGCTAAGGGAGGTGGGTGGGGATCCATGCAGGGTGCTGAATAACTGGGGCTGGGGTCGCAGCCCTTGAAGTCCTGTCTCCCCAGGGAAGCCACAGGCATGGGGGTGCTTAGGGAAGGTGAGAGGTGGAAATGAGAGGGCTGGGGGCTGATAGAATAGGATGGGGGTGCCTGGGCAAGGGGCTGGGGCCAGGGCCCTGGAACCAGGCAACGGGGAGGGGCTCCAGCCAGCATCCGCCACTCAGTCACAAACAACTGGCTTTAATTTCCCGCTGGGATCAATAAGGAGAAGGAATTTCCCAGTGCCTCTGGCCTTTTAATTATGACCAAATCTGCTGCAGACCTGCCTGGGGCCACTGGTTCCACCTTTCCAGGAGCCTTGGTCATACCCCTCTTGGGGTTCCCCAGGAATTTGGAGACTCAGTGGGGGAAGGGTGCAAAGTTGGTGAGAAAACTGGGGGAGCAGAGGTAGGATGGGGGTGGAGTGGAAACAGATGAGTTTGAGAGTTAGAAAAGAAACATTCTGGGGGGTTGTTCCCCTGTCATGTGGCTAGAAGGATAGTGGCTGCTGGTCTTGACCAGGAGAAATAGAGATGGGCAGGAGAGGGCTTGTGGATGGTGAGGACTGGAGTGTGGGAAGAAGCAGATGTGTGCACCATTGAGGGGGCTGGGACTTGGAAAGAGACGCCCCATCTCTCTCCATCACTTCCTTGAGGCTCGAAGGAAGGAGTGACCACCTAGCTCCACCACTGGGAAGAGAAAGGCTGCTGGGGATGGGAAGAGTGGGAGTGTCATGAAACCCACCCTCACCCCCAACCGGGACTAAGAAGAATCTCCGGCCAAGTTCAGCACTTGTAGAAGAGCCTCACCCTGAGCAGTGTTATTGCATCTGCTGGGTCAGAGGATTTGTTGGCTGGGACTCATGTAGAAATTAAACCCAGGTGGGACTGGACACCTGGGTCTCTGCCTCTCAGTGTGGGAGCAACAAAGAAGGCAAGACTTCCATAGAAGACAGAGAAATCTGAGAGTGGGCTGTGGGGTGGCTGGCAAGACAGTTGTCTCCTGGTCACCCTGAACCCTTGGGATTCCACTTGGTACAGAGGGAGTGCTGCATCCTGGTCTGCCTCTCTGGGTTCAGGGGCCCAGCCTTTTTATATCCGGTAGAGCCAGGCTCTGACTGGCTCCAAATGAAATCACCCTTGCAGCAGGAGAGATGGGAGTTAGACACACCCCAAAGCTTCCAGCAAACTGAAGCACCAGCTGGGGACAGGGTCAGAGATTTGGAAAGGAGGCGACTCATTTCTCAGAGACATGTGGGTGCAGGGGAGAGACCCTGAGAACTAGGGAGGCAGAGAATTGTGTGTGACCCTGGGAAGGGGGTGGGCTGGACCCAAAGGCAGGGGATGACAGTGACCTCCAGGACCAGCCCCCAGGCCTGGCAAAGAGAAGCAGTTGCAGCCCAGTGGGGTCAGGGCCCCAGACTGGGAGGAAGGGGCTGAGTGCGACAGAAGGATTACAGTCAGGTCGGGAAGGGGTGGGGGTCTACACAGCACCCAGGCGGTGCCTCTGTTGTTCTTGGCTCTGCCACCTCATTCCCAGCTCCAGCTGCCAACGCTTTCCTCAGGGCTGGGCTGGGCCAGCTGAGCCGCAGGAGGGGAGAGGGAGGAGGTGGGGGTGCACTGGCTGAGAACTTGTCCAGACTGGGTTTCAGTCCCCTGGATGGAGAAGTCAGTCTGCACCATGACGTGACCTGCAGTTAAACTCCTCTTGGCTTTTACGATCCATCTGCACTGGCCCCTTAACCCCTAGCAGCCCAGGGCAGGAGGGAGAAGGCATAGCCATGGCAAGTCTGGCAGACTGCATACCTGGGTTCGCGTGGCACCTGGGGAAAGTGGCCAGCCCTGGAAAAGACTCACAGCCCGCAGTCTAGCCTCTATCCCTGCTACAAGGCCCTGGTGCTGGACCCAGAAGGGGTGGCTCTGGGCAGATCTGCTGCAGATTTGGTCATAATTGCAAGGCCAGAGGCACTGGGACACCAGAGCCAGGTCCCCATCCAGAGCCTGAGTCCAGACCTGGGCCCCTCAGTCTCTTTTCTGGGACTTTGCCTCCCTTCCCCTTGCCTCTTTCCTCTTGGATCCCAGGATCTGGTTATCTGGCCCTGTGCCCGCCTGCCTGCAGTGCCCCCCACCTCTTTCTTCCTCCAGCACTCCAAATCATCTCAACGTAGAGGGGATACAGGCCACCTCTCACATGTCTCCCCTCCCAGCCTCTGAGGATGGGAAACAGAAGATCCAGTTGTCTGGGGGCCTTCCCCCCAGCTCCCCACATTAAGTTTGAGATGACCTGGAGTTTCTGGAGAAAGAAAGAGGTGGGGGAGCCACAGGTGGGGTGGGCACCGGGCCAGATAACCAGACCCCAGGATTGAAGAGGAGGGAGGCAAGGTCCCAGAAAAGAAGAGAAGAATGAGGGGCCCAGGTCTGGGCTCTGAGGTTCTGGATGGGACAGAAAGAGGATATTAGACCCATTGTCCCTAGGGACAGGGTGGGAGGGGGTGATGGGTTGGCCTCAGGAAGAGCTTGGGTAGAACTTCTCTCCAGGACTCCCAGAGGCTCTCACTTCCCT